GCCGAGTCAACGACCGGACAAGCGCAAGGCTCAAAATTTGGAGCTCACAGAGTTGTCCTTTACGGACTACTTCGGTGGTAATGATAGCAGCAGCTGCTGCTGGTGGTAAGAACTCTACAACGGAATCAGCTGTTTGTCCTGCAGAATTTTGCAACGGTACAAGTAGAATCACATGTGCATTTATAGCGTATTCGCGTAACAGTCGATGCCTACTACGCTGTCTTCCCAATGCATCTGCGAAGAACCAAGTATACCACACGCACGTCCATTCGATGTGAGCAGCGGACAGCAGTGAACAGCAAACGAAGAAACGCACGTCAACAGGAAAATGTTCGGCCAAGATACTGGGTGCGCTCTTCAGCCTGCCAGCCGGTCCACAGGACCTCAAAGAAACTGAGCGCGCTCTTCAGCCTGCCAGTCGGTCCACAGTCAGTCCCCTGACGCAAGGAACAGTCCACACAGCTATAGCGCTATTTCGCCCTTGAAGGATGATGGCTTCTTTCGAAAAACACGGAGTGAGGCCGTCAAGGAGCGCGTCCACCGGTACCGGACACACCTCTCATCTCTTACAGATTTGGCACAGTGCACGAGTTGTTCACCTTTACGACAGCAGCTGCCATGCCATCAACAAAACCAGCAAGGGGATTCGAACTCGCAGCAAACGGGTGCGCGCCATGCGTTTTCGGTCGCAAGACCGACTCGTCAAGATCAACGTATTCTTGCGTCGTGTACTTCGTTTCCTCCAGCTTGCATGCACCTGTTCACAAACCTGCACGTATTCGGTCCGATAATGTGAACCGCCGCTTGGCAATCGCAGCGGCTGCTGCATCTACAACTGACGACACGGCATGTAGAATAAAAAGGCATCGAGCCAATCTGCCTTCGCAAACATTGAATCAGTGATTACAATTCAGCTTCGAGCGCACAGCGTGTATACGTATGCTACATGACGGACCAGGAAATATAGAGCTGACATCCCATGCAATATTCATGACCGAGCGGAACGAAAAGTACAGCATTTTCATTCTGTCGCATCTCAAAGTGCGTCTGAGTGCCTACGCATCACGATCTGGCAGTATGCACGGTATTGTGGTCTATCCTTGTGGACTGCCTACATTTGATAGGATCTATCTACACGCAAGTAAAAACGGGCAAGTAAAAAACACGTAAGTTCCGCAATATCCATCATGCGGTCTACATGTTCGTTCAGCTGGTCGACCTGTACTACAGCGTACAGGTGAGAGTATGTGTAGTCCACAACTACACAAATGTCCATACAATCGATTGCGCGAAGTAAAACGTACGTACATGCTGGTTTCGTTCAGCTTTTGCCCGAGTTGGAAGGCGTTTGTTTGCCGATGACCACGAACCCGGATTCATGGATGTTGACCATATTTGGAGAAAACCGCATGGACGGGAACCATACATCGCGAACCGGTCAAGGTGAGTTACAATCAAGACGCATGTATGACCAGACCTCACGAACCTCTGTCGAGCTACTTTCGAGTCGAGCAACTCCGATCGTGCACATTATTCCGCGGGACACGCCACACACTGCTCATTCCCGCATTTACTGCCTTGAACTTCATTCACTCGAGCCAAAAAAGACAGTCACAGCGCACGCTCTTTCTTTCCTCTATTGACTCGGCCGAGCTTCCTCTACAGCAAAAAATTCCAACCATGTTCGACATCACCAAGATCTTTGCTGTGTACGCTGTCATCATGGCCGTTTTCGACAAAGGCGCGCATGCCGAGAAAGAAGTCGCCGAGACGTTTGGATTGGTCGGTGGCCACTCTTTGGGTGCAGGCGTTGGCCTCGGAGGCGTCGGTGCAGGAGTCGGCCTTGGCGGTGTCGGTGTAGGTGTTGGAGCCGGCTTGAACACTGGTGTCGGCTATCCTGGTGTCGCCGGGTATCCCGCTGCGGGTGGCGTTGTGTACCCTGGTGTTGTTGACGTGACCGGCAACCCTGTAGTCAGTGGCCAAGATGTCAACGTTCGTACCGGCGGTGGCAACGGCAACTCGGTCAAGACATCGACTGTGACGACTGTCGACGGTACTAGCTCTGGAACGGCGTCCACTGGCACGAGCACAGGCGGAGGATCGGCAAACACTGCTGCACATGCGAATGCAAGTGCGAATGCGAATGCCTACGCAAGTGCGAATGCGGATGCTGGGGCAAAGACCGGAACCAACGTTGGTGAGACAATGACTGGAACTAGCGATACTTCTGAAAACGTGTACCGCAAGCTTCGCTCGGAGAAGTGAACGGACTCAGTGGACTTGGCGGGCTTCTGAGTCAGATTGAAGAAAGATAGATGAGTTCCTCGGTCATCTTTTGCATCCGGTTAGTTTCTCGAAGATCCTAGGAGGTGTTGCATGTAGTAGCGTAATGACTGTTCGTGAGTATACAAATGCTGTTTTCAAACAAACATACCAGAGTGCTGCTTGCCAATGGATTTGCTCGATAGCATTTCCTCGCCGTCGCTGTTGTTGATACGTCCTTGGATCGATAAGCAAGTCGACATTGTCTCCTTCATCTGCGTCTGCTCTCGACAATAGCTAATAAAAACAAGCAAACGCTCAAAACATGATGTGGCAAAGTGGTGGCGCACAAGCAAAAAACAACAGGCGTCTTTCTATTCAGTGCAACAATAGAAAGAAAGCTCGGATCTCCGGATCAACACACCCCTCGTTTGCGGCAATCAAAGGTGCTGTAAATAAATGTGCGATTGTGTGTGCTGCGTCCGTCCGAACTGGACGCTACTGCGCAGCCAGCAGTAACCATAACAAACGACCGTTGTTCAAACGGTTGTAGTAACTACTGCTTCGCCATCTACGCACCGTCCGATAAAGCAGAACGCATCCGCGTCACGTTTTGAGTGATGGGGGGGGGGTCCGAAGATGCCAGCAGGGTCGCCCACAATGGCTGAAAAAACGAAGCCCCGACCAGTGACACTACGATGGTAGTGCGTCTAGACATCGCAACAAACTGTGTGGTATCACGAGATAGAACCACCCCTCCTCGAGCTGATGAAAGCTTTCGACAGAAAACAAAACACAGAGCTACGATGCTTCTGGGTGACGCTTCGGCGCCGCCGTCGCTGTGTTTCGTCCGTCGATACATCGATATACTTCGCTTCGGCGACGCTGAAAACACCTGCTTGCGTTACGGAAGTGATACAGTGTGATGGCTATGACAGCTTTTCATCAGCGAGTGAAATGAGTTGCCGAGTCAACGACCGGACAAGCGCAAGGCTCAAAATTTGGAGCTCACAGAGTTGTCTTTACGGACTACTTCGGTGGTAATGATAGCAGCAGCTGCTGCTGGTGGTACGAACTCTACAACGGAATCAGCTGTTTGTCCTGTAAATTTTGCAACGGTACAAGTAGAATCACATGTGCATTTATAGCGTATTCACGTAACAGTCGATGCCTACTACGCTGTCTTCCCAATGCATCTGCGAAGAACCAAGTATACCACACGCACGTCCATTCGATGTGAGCAGCGGACAGCAGTGAACAGCAAACGAAGAAACGCACGTCAACAGGAAAATGTTCGGCCAAGATACTGGGTGCGCTCTTCAGCCTGCCAGCCAGTCCACAGGACCTCAAAGAAACTGAGCGCGCTCTTCAGCCTGCCAGTCGGTCCACAGTCAGTCCCCTGACGCAAGGAACAGTCCACACAGCTATAGCGCTATTTCGCCCTTGAAGGATGATGGCTTCTTTCGAAACACACGGAGTGAGGCCGTCAAGGAGCGCGTCCGCCGGTACCGGACACACCTCTCATCTCTTACAGATTTGGCACAGTGCACGAGTTGTTCACCTTTACGACAGCAGCTGCCATGCCATCAACAAAACCAGCAAGGGGATTCGAACTCGCAGCAAACGGGTGCGCGCCATGCGTTTTCGGTCGCAAGACCGACTCGTCAAGATCAACGTATTCTTGCGTCGTGTACTTCGTTTCCTCCAGCTTGCATGCACCTGTTCACAAACCTGCACGTATTCGGTCCGATAATGTGAACCGCCGCTTGGCAATCGCAGCGGCTGCTGCATCTACAACTGACGACACGGCATGTAGAATAAAAAGGCATCGAGCCAATCTGCCTTCGCAAACATTGAATCAGTGATTACAATTCAGCTTCGAGCGCACAGCGTGTATACGTATGCTACATGACGGACCAGGAAATATAGAGCTGACATCCCATGCAATATTCATGACCGAGCGGAACGAAAAGTACAGCATTTTCATTCTGTCGCATCTCAAAGTGCGTCTGAGTGCCTACGCATCACGATCTGGCAGTATGCACGGTATTGTGGTCTATCCTTGTGGACTGCCTACATTTGATAGGATCTATCTACACGCAAGTAAAAACGGGCAAGTAAAAAACACGTAAGTTCCGCAATATCCATCATGCGGTCTACATGTTCGTTCAGCTGGTCGACCTGTACTACAGCGTACAGGTGAGAGTATGTGTAGTCCACAACTACACAAATGTCCATACAATCGATTGCGCGAAGTAAAACGTACGTACATGCTGGTTTCGTTCAGCTTTTGCCCGAGTTGGAAGGCGTTTGTTTGCCGATGACCACGAACCCGGATTCATGGATGTTGACCATATTTGGAGAAAACCGCATGGACGGGAACCATACATCGCGAACCGGTCAAGGTGAGTTACAATCAAGACGCATGTATGACCAGACCTCACGAACCTCTGTCGAGCTACTTTCGAGTCGAGCAACTCCGATCGTGCACATTATTCCGCGGGACACGCCACACACTGCTCATTCCCGCATTTACTGCCTTGAACTTCATTCACTCGAGCCAAAAAAGACAGTCACAGCGCACGCTCTTTCTTTCCTCTATTGACTCGGCCGAGCTTCCTCTACAGCAAAAAATTCCAACCATGTTCGACATCACCAAGATCTTTGCTGTGTACGCTGTCATCATGGCCGTTTTCGACAAAGGCGCGCATGCCGAGAAAGAAGTCGCCGAGACGTTTGGATTGGTCGGTGGCCACTCTTTGGGTGCAGGCGTTGGCCTCGGAGGCGTCGGTGCAGGAGTCGGCCTTGGCGGTGTCGGTGTAGGTGTTGGAGCCGGCTTGAACACTGGTGTCGGCTATCCTGGTGTCGCCGGGTATCCGGGTGGGTTCCCGCTGCGGGTGGCGTTGTGTACCCTGGTGTTGTTGACGTGACCGGCAACCCTGTAGTCAGTGGCCAAGATGTCAACGTTCGTACCGGCGGTGGCAACGGCAACTCGGTCAAGACATCGACTGTGACGACTGTCGACGGTACTAGCTCTGGAACGGCGTCCACTGGCACGAGCACAGGCGGCGGATCGGCAAACACTGCTGCACATGCGAATGCAAGTGCGAATGCGAATGCCTACGCAAGTGCGAATGCGAATGCTGGGGCAAAGACCGGAACCAACGTTGGTGAGACAATGACTGGAACCAGCGATACTTCTCAAAACGTGTACCGCAAGCTTCGCTCGGAGAAGTGAACGGACTCAGTGGACTTGGCGGGCTTCTGAGTCGGATTGAAGAAAGATAGATGAGTTTCTCGGTCATCTTTTGCATCCGGTTAGTTTCTCGAAGATCCTAGGAGGTGTTGCATGTAGTAGCGTAATGACTGTTCGTGAGTATACAAATGCTGTTTTCAAACAAACATACCAGAGTGCTGCTTGCCAATGGATTTGCTCGATAGCATTTCCTCGCCGTCGCTGTTGTTGATACGTCCTTGGATCGATAAGCAAGTCGACATTGTCTCCTTCATCTGCGTCTGCTCTCGACAATAGCTAATAAAAACAAGCAAACGCTCAAAACATGATGTGGCAAAGTGGTGGCGCACAAGCAAAAAACAACAGGCGTCTTTCTATTCAGTGCAACAATAGAAAGAAAGGTCGGATCTCTGGATCAACACACCCCTCGTTTGCGGCAATCAAAGGTGCTGTAAATAAATGTGCGATTGTGTGTGCTGCGTCCGTCCGAACTGGACGCTACTGCGCAGCCAGCAGTAACCATAACAAACGACCGTTGTTCAAACGGTTGTAGTAACTACTGCTTCGCCATCTACGCACCGTCCGATAAAGCAGAACGCATCCGCGTCACGTTTTGAGTGATGGGGGGGTCCGAAGATGCCAGCAGGGTCGCCCACAATGGCTGAAAAAACGAAGCCACGACCAATGACATGACGATGGTAGTGCGTCTAGACATCGCAACAAACTGTGTGGTGTCACGAGATAGAACCACCCCTCCTCGAGCTGATGAAAGCTTTCGACAGAAAACAAAACACAGAGCTACGATGCTTCTGGGTGACGCTTCGGCGCCGCCGTCGCTGTGTTTCGTCCGTCGATACATCGATATACTTCGCTTCGGCGACGCTGAAAACACCTGCTTGCGTTACGGAAGTGATACAGTGTGATGGCTATGACAGCTTTCATCAGCGAGTAAAATGAGTTGCCGAGTCAACGACCGGACAAGCGCAAGGCTCAAAATTTGGAGCTCACAGAGTTGTCTTTACGGACTACTTCGGTGGTAATGATAGCAGCAGCTGCTGCTGGTGGTACGAACTCTACAACGGAATCAGCTGTTTGTCCTGTAAATTTTGCAACGGTACAAGTAGAATCACATGTGCATTTGATAGCGTATTCACGTAACAGTCGATGCCTACTACGCTGTCTTCCCAATGCATCTGCCAAGAACCAACTGTACCGCATGCACGTCCATTCGATGTGAGCAGCGGACAGCAGTGAACAGCAAACGAAGAAATGGCGTATGGATTGTCTTACCTTTTCACCCGGCTTGATGACGAAGCGGAATGACTCAGGAGCCTCGAAGACCAATACGACTGTAGAGCCCAGCTATACACGTTTTAAAATCAGCTACTTGCAAAACGACCGTGATGTGATTCTGTCGTACCTTGAACTGCGCCATTTCTTCGCCACGTGCGGTCTTTACCTTGCTGCTATAGTCGTGGACAAAGCATTGGCCTGCCTGTACATCCTGTGCGACAGTGTTGGTACGGAAAGCAGGTTCCTTCGTGAGAACAATGGAGCCCACGTTAGTTGCACCAACAGCAGTGAGGGAAAAGAATCCGTGCTCCCATTCGCCGAGAAGAGCCACTCGCTCATTTTCTACGAAGAGGCTTGGGATCAGACGCGCTGCAGTCCGATTAACAGGAAATAGATTGCCGGGAAAGTGGCGGCGCTCTTTGACCTGCCAGTCCACGGGTGCATGAATACGGTGGTAGTCTCCCGGCGCAAGGTACAGCACGCAGTAGAATAACTTGGTGCCCTCAGCAACTGATGTTTTTTTTGAGAAAAAGGCAGGTAGACTGCCAAGGAACTCGTCCAGTCGGTACCTTGCGCCTTTGATTTGTTCCAATGTCGGCACATCGCAAGAGTCATCCACCCTACCAACAGAAGATACCATGCCATCAACGGGGCTAGCAAGATGACCAGAACTCGTATCGAACGGGCGAATTCCATCCTTGAGCGGCCGTGAGAAAAACTCGCCAAGGTTGGCGTAGTCTTGGAGCGGGTATCGCATCTCGTCCAGCTTGCAATTAAAAACGGCGGTCCATGCCTTGTACACGGGTGCTCGCAGCCACATTGGTCTAATAAGCGCAGCGCCGTCAAAACAGTACCACCAAAGAATTAGACAAATTATTGAATAGTGTAACAACAAGTGGCGCCCTTCTTCATACAAATCCTTATTGTGCACTGCTCCCCAGAGTCGGCTCGCAGCTCGATACGGAAAAAACTTGAGCGACTGCAGTTGTCGTTCCGTGGCCATTGTAGCTTCAAACGACGTTTGACTACCAGGAAGACGAAGTAGCGCCGCTGCCGGATGGGCCTTGCGCTCCTCGTCGGTCGGGTGGGTGAGTTGCTGCCATTGAAGGAATCCAATAAAGGCGAAACCTAATGTGGCTGGAATTTTCCAACTCCCAGCAAAGACGTTTCTCCGCCCTTTCGTGCTCGATGCAAACCGGTCAAAGTGGGCGATCAAGCGCTGCTGTTGATGCCTAAGCATCAGACACTGATGTCGCGACTGCAGCTCGACGGTAATCCTCCGGCCGCCAAACATTATGGATTGTGTCAATGTGGCTTACGTGCGAATGAGGGAACAAATATGCAATGAGGGAATGGCCTGGTAATGTTACTTCAGAGCCCCGTGTTCGGTGGGGAGGTGATGTACCGCGTTTCTGGCACCTTTGATACCAGCCAATCATGAGAGGAACAGTAGCAGAAGCGCAAGAGAGCTGGAGAACAAGCGGTCGACACGTTGCGACGATGGATTCCTGGGGTGCGTATCTCTCTGTCTCTCAACACGCGCTGACTAACCCATACCTCGTTAGCCAGTGCTGCTCGTGCTGCGCATGCAATGACATAGTCGTTTAGCTCCGTGTTGCTCGGAAACGCTCACACGATCTGATTGCGGTGACGTGTTACATATTCAGACGACGATGAGTATGAAGTGCCACCGGTGACGCAGCCGCAGACGAGTGCAGCCACATGGGAGGACGAGGAGGCAGAGGATGAGCCGGTCGTGGACGTCAAGACGGAGCTTCCTGCTGCCGCGAAGGGCCCCGTGAAGCCCAAGCAGCTCAAGAAGATGAAGCTGAAGGAGATGGAGGAGAAGCAGAAGATGGAAATCGCTCTCACCAAGGCGCGGCTCGCAGCTCAGATCGATGAGACGGAGGATCAGCGTAAAGCTCGTGAAAAGGCTTCGATTGAAGAGGCAGACTTTGAGATGGCGATCGATGCTTTTGCTGGCGCTTCGGCTAAACCGGCGGCTGGAGCCGCCGACGATGTGGATGCCAACGTCTCGAGTATTCGACTGCTGTCGCTTGCCGATCATGAACACTTTGGTGACGTTGTGTCGTCCCGATTGGCGACCTCAAACTCCAAGTATGCACTCGAGTGCATCAAAGTGATCCTAACGAAGGCTTCCGTAAATCTGACAGCTGACGACATGAAGGAGATCACGACAATCGTAAACGTTGTCAAGAATGAAAAGATCGCGGCCGCCAAGCCGAAAGGAAAGAAAAAGAAGCAGACTGGCAAGCAAGGCTACGCTAACGTCGAACGCAGTGTCGGTAGCAGCGGGGGCAAGGTTTATGCCGGGTACGATGACACGTACGAAGACGGTCTGGACGACTATGGTGACTTTATGTAGGCGCCATGGTATCGTCGGAGTGACTCGCGTTAATCTAAATAGCGCGAAAAGGTTGGCGATTAAATTATGCTGATAGCGATTTTGCGAGTGGTTCTTGCTCGCTCTGCATTGAGTGAAATGAAAGTCCGTGTGGCACGACTTCGCGATGCATGCTCCACGACTCATCGACACTCAATTGCGGCGTTATCCTAGGCACTCGGCAGATCAGCGTTCGCAAAGCCCATATCGTAGATAAAGCGACACGCCCTTCTCATTACGTCTTCGCAGAGATGCGAGTTCCAACTACATCTGGCTACCGTATGCGTACATCGCTCTGAACCATCCATCACATGATCTTCACCCTGACCATGTTAGCTTTACGAAGACTTTGTCGACCATTGTAGGGTAAGACAGAGGTTTGATAACCACAACAACGAGTACTGTCATTATCTGCTGCTTTTGTTCCAAACCTTCCGTGACACCCATCTCTCCCGAGTTATGTCAACTTGAGCAGCAGACAGGTCTCGTGACACCACACAGTTTGTTGCGATGTCTAGACGCACTACCATCGTCATGTCATTGGTCGTGGCTTCGTTTTTCAGCCATTGTGGGCGACCCTGCTGGCATCTTCGGACCCCCCCCCCCATCACTCAAAACGTGACGCGGATGCGTTCTGCTTTATCGGACGGTGCGTAGATGGCGAAGCAGTAGCTACTACAACCGTTTGAACAACGGTCGTTTGTTATGGTTACTGCTGGCTGCGCAGTAGCGTCCAGTTCGGACGGATGCAGCACACACAATCGCACATTTATTTACAGCACCTTTGATTGCCGCAAACGAGGGGTGCTGGTTCGTGTGGCGATGGAAGGCAAGTTTTAGCGAGCCTGTCGGCTTCTGCATTCGCAGACGGGCTTGAATGACTAGGACGTCTGCAGACCAACGAATTCCAGCACTGCGACGATGATGGAACCTGCTGATCGAATCGAGAATAGCTCGAGAAAACCAAAGTCAGGTACCATCGTTCGCTATATTGCCAGCATAAGCTGCTTGACGTCAAGTAGCCGTCGAGGAGACGACCATCTCACTTGATCTGGACAAAGTCGTCGGAATCCAACTCGCCGCTGTCCGCGATGACCACCTCCTTCACGGGGGTGCCGTCGGCCGAGCCCGCGGCCTCCATGGCATCCAGCACGTTCATGCCCTTGATGACGCGTCCAAACACGACGTGGCGGTCGTCGAGCCACGAGGTCTTGACCGTGCAGATGAAGAACTGGCTGCCGTTCGTGTTTCTGCCCGAGTTCGCCATGCTGAGCGTGCCCTTGCCCGTGTGTTTCCTGCCAGCCACACAATGGCACCCGTGAGCCCCCGTCCACCAACGCGTGCACCGATTCACAGAACAGTAGTAGTAGTAGTAGTAGTAGTAGTACAAGCCACAAAAGGACGTACAGAGTAAAGTTCTCGTCGTCGAACTTGCTGCCGTAGATGCTCTCGCCCCCGACGCCGCTCGAGTGCGTAAAGTCGCCGCCCTGCACCATAAACTGCGGGATGATGCGGTGGAAGACACTGCCTTTGTAGTGGAGCGGCTTCCCGCGCTCGCCGACGCCCTTCTCGCCCGTGCACAGCGCCCGAAAGTTCTCCGCCGTCTTGGGCACGACGTCGCCGTAGAGTCCCATGACGAGGCGCCCGACGAGCTCACCGTCGATCTCGACGTCAAAGTACACCTGGTGGGTGATCTGGGGCACGTCTGTGGGCTGCGCGACGAGCGCCAGCGCGGAGACGCACAGCGCCAGCAGTGAGAGCGTCTGGAGGGCCGTCATGGGAGGAGCTCTGGCAGTGCGTCGTCTGTCGCCGGCGAATGGATCTCGAGCCGCGGCGTCGGGTCGGGCGCGGCGTAAAAAGGTAATTACGCGACCACAAACGCTCGCGTTGCGTCGGGTGGTCGCTCTTCGGGACAAAGTCCGAAACCTCGAGCCAAAAGGCGATTCGTGACGTGGCAGCAGCAGAGACGTTTCGTTTGGATGCACTGCTGAGCTTCGTCGCCTGTGCTTGTTATTGTGCTGTTACGCAAGATGGGGAGAGTGCGTTAAAAGTTCGGCCGACCACACTCGGCTGGTGGTTCAGCCACAGTGAGTTTCTAAAAAGTGGATGATATTGAGCGTAAATACATAGTTTGTAATAATGTTACGATGCATGCATCGTATAAATAGCGTTTCCCTAAGTAGAGCGACTTTGTTGGGAGAGAAATAATCGATTTGAGTGATATATCGGGACGCGAACGACCCACTATGTCGGGATATGTCAAGCCACTCTTCGGTGATGTGTCATCGTACCGCCTCTGCGCGGGCATCGATCCACGGAACCGGTCATGGTGCCAGTGCTTTTCCACTTGGCAACCAGAGACGGTTGAGCGACTTCGTCGAGAACGTATAGCATGAGAATAACCTGGAACGTCGACCCCGTTGACGATGTGGAATAGTTTACCGAGCTGCTGCGCTTACGTGCATTATAGCGTGTAGGGCGAATACAACGCTGCGTCTCTTTTTACGCATACGTATCGCAATATCCATATCAACACCATCATCGCTACAAAACGCAGCAAATTTTTTTTCGATGACCATGATATCCTAGCAGCATTGCGTGTTCTGTTCGGGTGCAACTTTTCTTTTTGTTCGCAAGTGTCTCGTGACCAACTGCTGACGCATCCCAACAACACCATTAGCCCTTCACAATCTTGTGTCTTCTTGATGTGTTGCTTATCTATACTTCATCTCATGCTGCCTTAAGTCCTGCCTCAAGCATCTTATAGAGCATTTTATGTGCCATTCAAAAACTATAATTTTTCATCCCAGCCAAAAAATATGATCCGGCTGAGACGGCAGCTACTCATCATGACAAAGTGTATACACATAAATGTACAAAAAAAAGTAATGTATAATTTTGTAAAACGATAAAAAAAGTGTCAGACTGTGCATGAGACTTTTGAGCACCTTTTTAATTTGACTGCCGACAGATAGATGAATTTGTTTATTAAAGATATATTCATATAGAAGAAACACCGTTCATGTATACGAAATGCTTAAGCATTGTGCACATAAGATCGTAATCCAATGCATCATGTAAAAATTTAAATATTCATTTTCATGTGGTGCTTTGTTTTGGATCATGTGCCGTTTTCTCAGTCATTAATTTCCCCATATTTGAAGTTCTGGTAATTTAATGCATCTCTTTTTGTACATTGAAAAGCATTACAATGCGGTATGTATAAACAGAAAGGTACGTCTGAGCCATCAGGAAGACTCGCACATGTGGACAAATCGTTACAATCGAAAACTCTGTGTAAGACGATCATCTTGCGTGAAAATGTTATCAGGTATATCAAGGGTAATCATACTTTAATATTCGTCCATATATCATTGTGAACAAAAGGCACTACACTTCGCAATAATTCAATCGCAAGAATGTGAATTGAGTCACCATTAGGCTCGTCAAGTTTTGAGTAAGAGTGGATAGCTAAGGAATGCGGTTTCGTTGCATTTATTACAATGTAATGAATTGAAACCCGCTGATAAATGAAGGGAGTTATTTGCTATGCATCAGGCAGATTGAAAATGTGTCATATGGCTCTTTGTACAGAAAAAACTCAAATAATTGTGAAGAAGTGGATCGAAGAATGGTGTGAAGAAGGTGCTGAAGAAGGTGCTGAAGAAGGACTTACTTGGTATCCAGACTAGGTAAGACTTTCAGTTGGGTGTATCACGACAAGCAGATCCGATCGGTAAGGAATTCGATTCAAGAGATGATCCGCTCTGAGGAGGATCCTATGAAGATATCCGATCCGAGAGTGATCTGATCTGAGCCCAGGGTAGGGGATAAATCAAGGAGACTACGATATACCAGAGACAGAGTGAATCAATGGGCGACGCGTGGGGGTATTTTGGTATATATATGCTAAGTAGTATGTTTTGTGAGAAGGTTGGCTAACATGAAACAGAGTTCAATTTACTTCAGACGACACGCCTCATAACTTCCAGGTTTAATATTTGGCGTCCCGACTCAGCAAAGAGTGGAGCCGTTCGTCTACACAAGTGTCAAACCTAAATTGTTTGGCCAGGTGCGTTCAGGACTCGCAAAATAAATAAATCAACTGCGATAGGGCGCAGCAAGAAAGCAAGGGCGATCAATATCGCGAGACGGTTAAAGTGTTCAGAATGTCAACCGGATCTAGATTTACGTATTGGAATAATTGATCTCGTTAAAATCTAAAACGGCTCATATTAAGTACCTTAAAGTGACCTGGGATCGCGGGAAGATTTCCACGCGGTCACTCCATCCCAAACTCGGTCAATTGTAGCATCGACACGAGTCCACCGAAAAGAGTGCGGTCAGCCCTACGGACGGGTACAGAAGGTGAGGCAGTGTAACGTACGGATACGGAGTATACGCTCCGAATATTGGTCGTCTTGGCGCCAGTGGAGAGGCGGGATCTAATCAGTAATTTTGTGGAACCCGCTCTACCACATAATGCTCTTGATTTAATTTAATGGCCTCTTTGTTGATGAGCTATGTTGCAAAGATCAATTTTACTTTATTTGAGAACCGGTTGCTCTCATAACAATCAACGTTAATAAAAAATTTATATTATGTGGCCATAATCTAGAAAAATTATTGCCCCTAAACCTATTCATCACGATCGCTTCTGCTATTCAATTAACTTTTATGCCTATTCCACACTGCTCTATATATTATTTGGATACATATGCCTCTCTTTAAGTCGTACAAATCTATAGAGAAAACCTGGGTGGCACAGCGTGAGCGTCATTTTATATAATTTTGAATCGCGCATCAAGTCCTGATCATGCTCTCTTGCGTTTACATACATCCAAAAAAATCCATTCAAATGACTAATATTGGCGATAAGTTCCAATGGGTCTTTTTGTATTGCGACAGTTGATTTCTCCCAAAATTTTCTGGCTAGCCAAATTGGATATACATTCGATCTTGCCATCCATGTGGTAGAGTACGTTTGGATACGTGCTTTTTGGTTATTTGTCGATGTAATCCTTTCATTCTTTAGATATTGAGGCTATATAGTTGGTGTATAGAGGATTGATGATGAGGATACTTGCTTTCGGACACAAAACGGCAGACACCAAATATAGTTATCTCGATCTAAACTTCATTATCGCTTAAGAACACTGCACTGCCTTATTGTTACAAAATCGATATCAAAATAGTATCACTAAAAGCTTTATATATCTATACATCAATAAAATATTTCTCAACCCTCCCTATATCTGTTGCATTAATTCGTGTTCATTTAAAAAAAAGCGATCAATTGCTTATCATAATCCGACGTTAATACATTTTGACCGACGTACACTGTAGTTTACCTCAAATTTCACGCAGGCACGACAGAGCAAATGTACGTTCAGTTATAACCCCTGGTATTTCCGCGCGTATCGATAAAAGATATAATAGCTGCAAGAATAACATGTGATTATAATATCACTGCCTGTATTCTACTGACGCTCATGGCTATTTATCAATATCGTGAAATCGGTGTTTTCCTTATAAATGTAAAAACATGAATTGAGTGTGAGTGCATTCGGTACCCGATTCAGATCCCTGGTAAGCTCGGTAACAATTATTTGTCTGTGCTCACTAGAGTGATCATGCGTGGGTATAACCTGCACAAGATTCTATTTCGGCAAGTGTTGCATCCATAAAATATATTATCATATGATTATAGATATTGATACATAGTTAATTTAATGCTTATTGACTAAAATTAAGGACAAGGAGTAGACTAGCTAACACAATTTATTGCGCACAAAAGGGCCTGTTGATGCTCCCGTCTGTTCACATGATAAAAATGAACCCAATTGGCACGAAGTCGGTTTATTAGCCAACATATATCTTTCCTTGCGATATTGTAACGTTTAAACATCTACAAGCAATTTATCAGGTTTATGTGTATCTCTTTTTGACTTGCTTCACATAAATTATCGGCTGCAATTGTAATGAGCCATTCGATGGATGTGCGGGACACATCACATTTACTTTTCCATGGGTGACATTTACCGGTATTACACCGGTAATGCAAATGTTATACATGTGCACTGGTGACGTCATCGGATGATGTCATTGGACATATAGTAATCATGTCCATAATGATGGTTTCTGAATCTCAGGTATTCTTGAGGGAACATAACGAGTGACGCGTCATTGTCTATGTTCAAGTGAGAATCTTCGGCCAATCACGTCGCAAGGAGTCTTTTCGTCAGACTTCAAGCTCAAGGACGGTGAGTTGAAACTAAGAGTACTCATGGTTTTATATCAAGATAGTAGGTTTGATAGGCAGGCATAATAATTTACTTGTAAAACCTCTTGGAGCTCTTCAGGTGCATTAGGAGTAGCGCAGGAAACACAACAGATTTTCTATCAGTTTCAATTTTACCCTCAAGCGAACAAGTCGCCTTCGCTCTTACCTCTCTTCTCTATCTCTAAGACCTTAGGCTCAAGACCAGCTCGGCTAATGCAATTGACTCTCCTAATGAGATTTCCCTTTGCTAGAGTCAGCTCTTCCTCTTGACACGGGATCAGTGTCGTCTAGCTGTTCGCATACGCGATAAGCAGGTCTGATTCCCATTACAGCGATCAACTATAGGCTATTAGGTCGCGGCTTTGGATCGTAAGAACTTTGCTTCGTTACATTGCAGGTTAAAATTATTGTTTGTACCTAAGAGGCGAGTAAATGTTTATCCACATACCGTGTAGCGTGGCGCATATTTTACTTATACCCTAGAGGCCCTTGTTC